GGGCTCACCAGTGGTGGGAAGAGCAGGCTCGACGACTCGGCGACTCAGAGACTCGGCGGCACGGCGGCTCTGCAGCAACTGCGGCTCGGCGGCTCGGGCGACTCGGGCGGCTCGGCGGCTCGGGCGACTCGGGCGTCTCGGCGGCTCGGCGGTACGGCTGCTCGGCAGCAACTGCAGCTCGGCGGCTCGGCGACCCGGCGGCTCGGGCGGCTGAGGTGGCGCTGCGGCTCGGGCGGCTCGGGCGGCTCGGGTGGCTCGGCACTAGCTCGGCAGCGTCGGCGGCTCGGTGGTGACAGCGGGGCCGCTTGGGGACGGCGGCGGGGCCGGGTGGAGCGGCGACGGGGCCAGCAGAGGCGGCCCCGGGGCCGCAGGGTAGGCGACCGGGCCAGCAGACGCGGCGCCGGGGCCGGGAAGGGCGGCGTCGGGGCCGGCAGAGGTGGCGCCGGGGCCGGGAAGGGCAGCGCCGGGGCCGCAGGGGTAGGCGACGGGGCCAGCAGAGGCGGGGCCGGGTCGGGAAGAGCGGTGTCGGGGTCGCCGGGGTAGGCGACGGGGCCAGCCGAGGTGGCGCCGGGGCCGGGAAGGGCGGAGCCGGGGCCGCAGGGGCAGGCGACGGGGCCAGCAGAGGCGGGGCCGGGTCGGGAAGGTCGGCGTCGGGGTCGCCGGGGTAGGCGACGGGGCCAGCCGAGGTGGCGCCGGGGCCAGGAAGGGCGGCGCTGAGGCCGCAGGGGTAGGTGACGGGGCCACTAGGGCGGCGGATCGGAGGCGCGAGGGCGGCGCGACGCGGCCGCTAGGGCGGCGCGACGGGGTAGCGGGGCCGCGCGCCTCGGGGCGCGCGCCAGAAAGAAAATCGCCGCGCGCCTGTCGCACGCCGCGGGGCGTGCGACAAATCGAGTAGCAGCGGAAGCAGTAGTAGGGCCTTAAGAACAGTTCCCACGAGGGAACCTGCTCGATACCATGAGAAATCTGAAACGAGAATGATTCAACTATGAAAGAGTTGGGTACAAGTACTAACCCTAATTGGGTTGTACCCCATATGGGCTACCCCACTACAGCCTACACAAATGTATAAGCTATATGTTCTGACAAGAATCTCTCAGATCTTCAGCGAACACTCCAATTCTCATCTCCACGCCCAGTGTCGGGCTCTGCTACTCCACCATCCCAACCGCATCCTTCAATCTCATCGGCTGCGTGGACGCCGATCATGCCGCCGATCCCGACGATCGACGGTCTAGGACAGGATTCCTCTTTCGCCTCGAGCCCAGTGGCCCCATCTCCTGGAATTCACAGAAGCAGGTTCTGGTTGCCTTGTCATCAGCAGAAGCGGAATTCATCGCAGCAACAGCAGCTGTTCGCTACGGCCTTTACCTTCAAGAACTGCTGCAGGAGGCGAAAATTCCGGCCTCGGCAAACTTCTGCCTGCACTGCGACAATCAGAGCGCGATCAGAATCGCGAACAAATCTGGTTTCTGTTAGAATCCCAACCACTAGACCATTGGGATAAAAGGGCTTGTTTTAGTAACGGGTCATTGCGCCCATAACCCCCCAAGCCAACGTGCCTGTAACCCTTCCCTAGGATCAATCGGGGATCACCAGTGGACCTCTGACACCCCCCCGCACTGGGATGCCCGAAGTGCATACACCGGGATTCGAACCCGAGACCTTCGCTCTGATACCATGTAGTACCAACACTGCTCTGAACTCACCGGAGTAGTCAAGCAGGTCAAGACCTGCTACGACCAGGAGTGAAGGGGGGTGTTACGAATAGTGATTATTGAAACATCACTGTGCACTCCTCACCGCAGCAAGCGAAGCACGTACTACCAAGGTTGAAGTCGAAAGGGCGGAAGCAATATGAAAGGTCGCACAGTTACGAAAGCATCTGGACCGTCGGGCAGACAGCATCAGGCAGCAGCAGTGGCAAGGATTCTGTCCGAACAGTTTCGTAACCACCCAGAGTCGCACGGTTGGATTTCGTTGTAATAAGGGAATGTAACCCTTAGAGTACATGGCTAGCTAGGTCGATTCGAATTCCCCTGTACTCTTGTTAATATTCCTTGTACTTGCATGTAGGGATGAGCATATTGCCGAACGGGATTTTTTTTTTTTGTCAAAAAATGTTCGGCCCGAACATGTTAGTGTTTGCGCGAGCATGTTCGGTGTTCGCCGGCCGCAATGTGCCGAGCCGCGTCGAACACGAACATGTTCGTGTTCGACCCGTACATCGACGAACACCTCAGGTGTTCGTCGACGAAAAGGCCGCGACCTAATTTAGGATCGCGGCCCATTCTATTGTGGCTCATTTTGTAGAGCGTAGCCACCATGTCGTTCCCACCAGCCCGCCCAGCCCACTACCACATACCACACCCACACCAGTTAGAACTAGCCTAGTGCCTAAATTTGTTCAACTATGGCGTTTAGGCTTTTGGGTGATTTCCATGCTTAGCAATAGAATGTAGCACCTACACCAAACTCGTACGTTGTAGTAGCAGGATTCCATTAGGGTTTCCGCCGTTGAAGGGGTTTCCACCGTTAGGTTTAGGATCAAAGGGTCACGTCACTCCCCTCCCCACACCTCGCTGCCGCGGTACTGTTCTATCAAGGGTTTAGGGTTGCTTCGGCGGTCGTGGAAATGTCCTCCCACCAACAAGTTAGTGCAGGGTGGTCGCGGTGGAAGTCAGGCCGGTGCTCCATCGTCTGCACCATGTCCTATGCAGGGTCGAGTAGGTGACGGCCCTGGAGGAGTGGGTGCTTGTTTCATCGGTGGGCTTCTGTCCATACCCATCGGTCCTTCCGTTACTGGCGTTCTCGACCCCATACTTCTGGGCAGGCGCGCACCACCACTCAGACTGACAGTGTGGCAAACGAGGATGAGGGGGAGGAGGAAGAAGGGGAGGGAGAGGAGGAAGAGGAGAACGAGGAGTGGAGCGGTGGTGATAGTGAGCCGAGGTGGACACCTGAGACGCATGGCAGTGCTGGGGACGAGGGAGGAGATGAAGACGAGTAGATGGAAGGGTTGGAGCTTGGTTAGTTGTGCCAGGTCACTGGATCGACGAGTCGTTTCAGCTACGCGAGGCAGTGCTCGAGTTTCGCGAGCTGCCGGGTCGGCATGGCGCAGCACAGATCGCGTAGGTCGTGGAGGACACAGTGGTGATGTGGGGGTTGGAGGGGCGTTGTCTGGGCCTCACCACAGACAACGCCTTAGCCAACATTGCCACGTACAGGCAGCTGTCGGAGGAGGGTGGTGGTCGGGCTTTCTTCAACTCCCGCCTGCACTTCAGGTATTAGTGTGTGTGTGTGGTGTGGGGGTGATATTGGGGTGGCAGGTCAGGAACGGCGTTGTGGGGTGTGTGGATGTTTTCGGGGGTATCGTAATCTCCCACGCCACGGCAACCAAAGACCATGTGTCACAACCTCCCAAATCCCTTGCCTGTGGTGCTATGGTTTGCCGGTGTGTGTCACATGTGGTCAACTTGGTAGTGCAGGCAGGACTGAAGGTGGATGCCATTCGCCCCTTGTTGAAGGTGCTCAGAGATATGGCGTCCTGGGTTGGGTACTTGCCGCAGCGCTCGGCTGCGTTTCTGGGGCTTCAGCGCGGCCTGAACCAGCAGGCCCGTGTCAAGAAACCAGCCTTGAAGTTAGTGCAATACAGTCCAACCCGCTGGGGCTCGAATCATGCCATGATCAAGCGCTTTCTTGAGCTGGAGAACCCGATCACTGTGTTCTTGGCCTCGACCCAGGTATAGGACGGGGACAGGACATGGGATCAGTGCCGGATGTGGCTGGCATGTGTGCGGCATGTCTATGGCATGTGTGTGGCACGTGTATGGCATATATGTGGCATGTGTATGGCATGTGGGTGGCATGTGTATGGCATGTGGGTGGCATGTGTATGGCGTGTGTGCGGCATGTGGATGGCATGTGTGCGGCATGTGGGTGGCATGTGTGCGGCATGTGTGTGGCATGTGTATGGCATGTGGGTGGCATGTGTATGGCATATGGGTGGCATGTGGGTGGCATGTAAGTGGCATGTGTGCGGCATGTGGGTGGCATGTGTGCGGCACGTGTGCTGGATGTGTGTGGCATGGGCGTTGGTTGCATGACGTGCGATACATATTGATAAAAGCCCTCACACTCATATGCCTCACAAAACCCAAGCCCTGACAGGGCATGGCGAAGGCGGACAAGGAGAAGGTGGAGAAGATGCGCCTTACAGATGAGCAGTGGGGGATGTTGAGGGAGCTGAAGGGTTTTCTCAGCCCCTTCAACTAGGTCTCCAAGGCAGCCGAGGGGACGGCGTACCCGACTCTGTCGATGGTGGTGCCATACTACAACGGCCTCCTCGACGCCATGGAGGCTAGACAAGCAAAGGGGCCCTCGGCGCTGCTGAAGCCTCTGGTCGAAAAGGCGCTGAAGATCTTGAAGAAGTACGTGTACATCAGCAGCTACGAGGGTTGGATCGCCACCTTCGTGGATCCTTCCATGAAGGCGGCGTGGTTCGACGACCCCCACTGGGAGACGCAGCATCCAGAGACAGAGCGCAGGGATAGGCCGCGCCCACCGTCAAGCGTGGTGATCGCGCTAGTACGAGATCGGGTGGCCGAGTACCAGGCAGCGGCGAGGGAGCTGGCTCCCAGGCCCACTACACTTCCCACGGTTGTAGAGGATGAGGGAGAGAGGGGGGAGGAGGACGAGGACGACCTGTATCTCCCTAGTCGCCGACGCCTTGCCGCGCGTCTGTCTGTGAGCCAAGCGGCGGGGGGGGTGGTCTTGTGCAGGATGATGAGGTCAGCAGGTACTTGTCCGAGAGGGTGCGGTACGACGTGTCAGCGTTAGAGTACTGGCGCACCTCCACAAACATGGAGATTCTGAAGAGGATGGCGACGGATTATCTCGCGATCCTGGCCACGTCTGCTGCGAGCGGGTGCGTGTTCTCCTTGGGCCGGAACCTCATTTCATGGAAGCGTCACCGCCTGAACTCCGAGAGGGCGCGATCCAGCATGATTCTCAGATCGTGGTATGGATCGCACCCTGGCCAGAGGATCGGTGAGGGCCGCCGCACAAAAGGGGTCGCAGCTCTGGAGCTCGCTATTGAGGGCGAGGGTGCGGAGGAGGAGGAGGAGGAGGAGGAGGAGGAGGAGGAGGAGGAGGAGGAGGAGGAGGAGGAGGAGGAGGAGGAGGAGGGAGGAGGAGGAGGAGGAGGAGGAGGAGGAGGAGGAGGAGGAGGAGGAGGAGGAAGAGGACAAGGAGGTGGAGGTAGAGGAGGAGGAGGAGGAGGAGGAGGAGGAGGAGGAGGAGGAGGAGGAGGAGGAGGAGGAGGGGGAGGAGGAGGAGGGGGAGGAGGAGGAGGAGGAGGAGGAGGAGGAGGAGGAGGAGGAGGAGGAGGAGGAGGAGGAGGAGGAGGAGGAGGAGGTGGAGGCGGAGGAGGTGGAGGGGGAGGCAGCGGAGGAGGTGGAGGAGGACGCGGCGGAGGGGAGAGGGGCGGACGCAGCAGCAGGGGGTGGCGAGGATGGTGGTGTTGGTAGCGGGGCTGGGACTGGGCTGTAGTTTTCATGCAGCCCTTACAGCCCGCGCCTGGCCCGCACGCGGCCCGTGTTACTGCTGCACTCGCTGCTGCTGCTACGCTGCTGCGCCTAAACTGCTGCTGCAATGCTGCTGCCGCTTGTACTGCCCTGCTACTGCTGCAACTACTTGCTGCAACTGCTCCTCCTTGCTGCTGCTGCTGCTACTTGCTGCAGCTGCTCCTTCTTGCTGCTGCTACTTGCTGCAGCTGCTCCTCCTTGCTACTGCTGCTGCTGATACTGAGCGCTGGCTGCTGCTGCTGCTTATCGCTGCTGCTCCGCCACTGAGTCTGAACCGCGCCGCCTAACCCGAGCTGTCACTGCTGCTGCTGCTGCAACTACTGCTGCTACAACTAGTGCTACTGCTGCAGCTGCTACTACTGCACTTGCTACAGCTTCTATTGCTGCCACTGCTACTGCTGCTATGGCTAAGCTATTGGTTCTTATGTTCGATGCTGAGGGCCGCGCGATTACCTTTGATGTCTGGCTCGACAATCTCCAGCTGTTCCTGTAGAGCAAGTCTAAGGATGGTATTTCCCTGTTTTTGCACACTGAGGGAAAGCTCCCACCCCCTGCTGCCGACGCTGTAGAGGATCTGTCTAAATGGCTCATGCGTGATGTAGCTGCCCGCCTTGCTGTCCGCAACCACTTGCCAGTCACTAAGCGCGCGCACTTTAGCCGGCAGAAAACGGCCAAGGATCTCTATGACGCTGTAGTTTCTCGCTACTCCTCCCCAGCTACTACTGCTGTAGGTCGTCTCATGCTGCCGTACCTGCATCCCGATCTAGCTGAGTTCCACACTGTCTCTGACCTCTTCACCCACCTCCGCTCTAGTGAGGAGGTGCTTCCATGCCGCTCTCAAGCCGGACTTTCTCGCTAAGACCCCCCCCCCCTCCCGCAGTACTTCACCCTGTACTTTCTTATCACTCGCCTCCCTAACTCCCTTCGCATTGTCAGGGACCAGTTCCTAGCCATGGACCCCACTGAGCTCATACTTGACTCGCTTGAGAAGACCCTTCTTGAGGTTGAGAAGAGCACTGTCGATGTCGCTGCCTCTCGTGGCACCCCCCGCTCCCCCTTCTTTGAAGGGTGTACTCCCTCCCTACTCCTCCCCTCAGTTGTGACCGCTGCTGCAGTCGAACTCCTTGGTGCTGAGGACGTTGGTGATGCGTCTGCTTCCAGTGGACGGCGCAACAACAGCAAGGGCAGATGGGGCAGGGGTGGTGGTGGTGGCAGCAACGGATGGGGTGGTGGAGGCTCTGGGGGTGGCTCTGGGGGTGGCGGCAGTGGAGGAGGCGGACAGGGTGGAGGAGGCGGCGGTGGTGGGAGAGGCGGTTGGGGTAGCGGGGGAGGCGGAGGAGGTTGGGGTGGGTCTGGCAGAGGTGGAGGCGCTCGTGGACCCTCCCGTGGCTACGGGAGTGGTCAGCAGCTGCCGCGCCTCCTGGACAACCCCACCAACCAGCAGCTCCGTGAGTGGGTTCTCCAGCGTGGGGGCTCTGGTCGCTGCCCTTATGTCCGGCGCACGGGGCCTCTGAAGGGCACAGTCTGCGAGAAGCCGCACAGTGAGTACAAGTGCTTTGGCCGTCTTGAGGACGCTTGGGTGACTAAGTACACCGAGGACCAGGAGGTCCCAAACTGGCTGCAGCTGATAGGGAAAGGGGTGGATGTGTTTGCTCTTGACTTTGCTAAGATCAATGCTGCTCTCTATGCTATGTATGTTGCTGATTATAGTGTTGAGGGTGCGTGTTACTCGTGTGTGCCATGCGATGCTGGTGGTGATGCTGCTCCCCGAGGTGCTAGTGAGTCTGCTGCCGCCCTAGGTGCTAGTGTCACTACTGCCCCAGGTGCTAGTGAGTCGGCTGCTACTGCTGAGGTCTTGCACACTTTCAGACTTGACTCTAGTGCATCCCGTTGCTTCTTTCGCGACTGCACAACTGTCACCCCACTCACTACACCAGTCCCAGTCTAACTGGCGGACCCCTCTGGGGGCCCGGTGGTTGCACGCCACTCCACTGTCCTCCCGTGCCTAGCTGTCCCCTCTGGCTCTCTGACCGGTCTCCACCTCCCCTCGTTCTCGACAAACCTGGTAAGCAACGCTGTCCTTCAGGATGTATGGGTTGACACCTTTACTCCTGGAGGTCAGTGTGTGGCGATCTGCACATGCACCAAGACAGGCCGTCACCTGGCTACGTTCACACGACAGCCGGGGTCGAACCTGTACACACTCACCACAGCGTCTCCATAGGTAGCTGCGTCTGGTCAGGTGGTTGCGTCCGGTCAGCTCGCTGCGTCCTGCTTGTGTCGCCTCCTCACCCACCCTGCGCAACTTTGGCACCACCGTCTTGGCCACCCGTCGCAGCTGTGTCTGCGCGGTATGCACTCCCGGCTCCTGGTCTCTGGCCTCCCTACGACCCTGGCCCCCCTCCCGTGCTCGCTTGCGCCGCCGTGCCTTCCTTGCGTCGAGGGGCGGCAGCGCGCCGCTCCTCACTCCTCCGAGTTTCCTCCGACCACTGCTCCTCTGCATACTCTCCACCTGGACGTGTGGGGCCCGGCCCCCGTCGGTGGAACGGACCAGGAGTGCTACTTCCTGCTGGTGGTTGACGACTACACACGCTACACCACAGTCTTCCCCTTGCGGCGCAAGGCGGATGTCAATGGTGTCTTGATCCCTTGGATCCGTGCTACTCGTCACCAGCTGCGCGAGCGGTTTCGGCGGGACTTTCCAGTCCTGCGTCTGCACTCTGACAGAGGTGGTGAGTTCTCCTCTGGCGTCCTTGAGACGTTTTGCTAGGATGAGGGCATCGCCCAGTCGTTCACGCTTCTGGAAACTCCGCAGCAAAATGGGATTGCTGAGCGTCGCACTGGCCAGATCATGGAGGTTGCTCGTTCCTCCATGATCCATGCGGCTGCTCCACATTTCCTGTAGCCGTTTGCGGTCCGATACGCCGCGCATCAGCTCAATCTCTGGCCCCGTGTCTCTGCTCCAAAGACCTCGCCCACACTCCGTTGGACGGGACAGCCTGGTGATGCGTCGTCGTTTCGGGTCTGGGGCGCGCTCTCTCTTGTTCGCGATACCAAAGCGAGCAAGCTCTCCCCTTGCACTCTCCACTGTGTCTTCCTGGGCTTCCCCACCGACGCTCCACCCTGGCAGTTCTACCACCCTGCCTCGCGTTGTGTTCTGTCCTCTCAAGACGTCACCTTCGACGAGTCGGTCTGTTACTACCGACTTCACCCGCACGCGTCCCACCCAGTCCCCCTCGCACCTCTCTTCCTGGCACCAGTCCCCCCCCCCCCCCCGTAGACCCCCTTCCCCCACACGGTCCTGCTCCCTTAGGTGTGTCTCAGGTAGACCCACCCCCTGTGGATGAGCCAGTTGAGATCTCTTCTGACTCCTCTGACTCACCTGAGGGGGGTGACGCTGTCGCCGACGACACGGCGACCACTCGCCGCACTCCTCGCTTGGAGACCCCCCCGGGTTTCCCGCCACGGCCGTCTTCGCCCGCCTCCGCAGCCTGCTGCTGTGGACTCTGGAGCTGAGACTACTGGAGCTAGGGCTGGGGGTGGTGAGTCTGGGGGTGCCCGCTCTCCTCGTCTGGCTACTCCCCCGGGTTCCCACCTCTGCCGTCTTCGCCGCCTCTACAGCCTGCTGTTGTAGACACTGGAGCAGAGACTGAGGGTACTGAGCCTGGGGGTGCTGGGACTGAGGGTACTGAGCCTGGGGGTGCTGGGAGTGAGGGTGCTGAGCCTGGAGGTGCTGGGAGTGAGGGTGCTGAGCTTGGGGGTGCTGGGACTGAGGGTACTAAGCCTGGGGGTGCTGGGACTGAGGGTTCTGAGACTGAGAGTTCTGACTCTATGGGTGCTGCGAGTCCTTCTAGTGTTGGTGTCTTCGGAGCTCCTACCGGAGGACCTGGAGCTGCTGGTGCTGGAGGTGCTGGAGTTGCTAGGGGTACTGGAGCTGCTGGTGCTGCTGGTGCTGGAGGTGCTAGAGGTACTAGAGCTGCTGGTGCTGGAGGTCCTGGAGATGCTGCTGGTGCTGGAGGCCGTGGAGCTGCTGGTGCTGGTGGTACAGGAGGTGCTGCTGGTCATGGAGGTCGGAGAGCTGCTGGTACTAGGGGAACTGGGGGAGCTGCTACTACTGGAGCTAGAGGTGCTGGAGGAGCTGGAGGTTCAGGAGGTGCTACTGGTGCTAGAGGACGTGTAGCTGCTAGGGCTGGAGGTGCTGGAGGTACTGGAGGTCCTGGTGGAGCTACTGGTGCTCTTCGCCACCTCCTCAGTCTTCAGCCAGGTGCTACTGGCTTCCCTGTGGCAGGTACTACTCTTCCGTTGCTGTATCCACCGGCGGATCAGTCACTGCCGCCACTGCTACCGCACTCCCCACTGCCTGCTCGTGCTCCTTATACTGCGGTGTCAAAGTCACTGACTGAGCGTCGAGAGCCTGAGACTCGTGCTTCCACCCCTGAGCGTCGAGAGCCTGAGTCTAGCTTTGACCTTGAGCCTGAGCCTAGAGCTGCTGTCCGTGCTCGTGTTCCTTGTGTTCGTCGTCCGCGTGCTCCAGCTGTCCCTGGCACTCACGATATGACACTCCGTCCTTCCTCTATTTCTCAGTGTGATGTCCTACCGTTACCTCATGCGTCCTCTCTGTCTGACGTTGCCGACACTCCGTCTGACCTTGCTTGTGCATCCAGTCCGACTGTTACTCGCCTTCTTGCTACAGTTGTGACGGACCCTACGTTCTCTTCTCCAGCTGCGTCTGCCCTAGTGGCTGAGCTCGTTGACTTTGCTGCTGTGTACCGCCTCGACTGCCTTGCGAGTCTTGTCTCTGACCCTGTCCCTGCCTGTCCTCCGTCCGTCGAGGGTGAGACTGCCCTTGGCTGTACTGCCCTTGGCTGTGACGTTCTTGAGGATAGACAGGAGGAGCTTGAGTGCCTTGCGGCTGCTTCACCCCATCACGCGACCATGCTGCTTGCCCCTGAGGGAGACCCGGAT